CTCAAGGGCAAGCCAAGTATAAATGTATCAAACACGGGCCCCTGGCAAGACAGCGTTAAAATAAAGAGAAAACACCCTGAGATGTGATTAGAACCCCAGATTAAATAGAAATGAGACAAGGCTCCTCTGAATTAGATCCTACCATAAAGCAGAAGTTGTCAAGTGTCCTCGATTCGTGGCACCCCCAGGCTCAAGGACGTAGCCCGCTGTGCTGTTCACTCAGCAGGCGGGTCCTGCCAGTGCAGTAAGAATGTATATCCTGAGGTCTTTTAAGAACTACGAGTGTCCATGGGTCCAGCAGGGCCACTCTTGGATATATAACCACAGAAATGAAAGCACGCACTCTCAAAACACCGGGCGCACGGATGCCCTCAGCAGCATTACTCGTAATAACCAAAAAGTGAACCCAACCCCAACGCCCATCAACCGAGAAGTTCTGCACAGTGGCATATTCTGCAATAAACAGTTTGGACATAATGGTACGTGCTGAAACATGTATGAATCTTGGAAATATGAGTCTAAGTAAAAGAAAACAAACCTAGGGGGGCCGGTAGGTGGCGTGGTGGAGAAAGGTGCTGGACTCCCACGTGGGTAACTGCAGTTTGAGTCCTGGACCTGGTGGCTTGCTTTCTCGTGTTCCCTTTCTCTCTTCCTCTCTTTCCCTGGTCAAATTAAAAAATAATAACAAGTAGAATTAAATCAGTTTTTTAAAAAAGAAAACAAACCTAAAAGGCATATATTCTATGATTTCATTCACATGAAAGTCCAGAATACAGAAACCATGGAGATCGTGAAGCACTGATTGCTAGTGTTGGGACAGTGGGGGGATAAGAGGGTGACAGCAAAAGAGTAAGAACGCTCTTTTTATTTGACCTGATGATGTCCTAAAACTGACTGTGGTGATAGATGCATATTCTATGACAGGTCATAGAATTGTCCACTCTCTGTGGGAACAGGTATACCATGCAAATATCTTAATAAAATTTTACTTAAAAAGTGACCTGAAGCAAAATGGTAACATTTTAACTTTGCCTATATCTAAGTAGTGGTTAAAGTGCTTCCTACAGATTTTCTCTTATTGAAACACTCCCCGTAAAATTATGCATTTTCCTTTAAACAATAAAGCAGTGAATGTGGTGGGAAAAAATACATGTAACTCAAAAGAAACACATTTTTATTTCATATTAAAACGATCACAATTGGACAAGCAAAAGGCATGGACACCACACTGCTGACTGCATGGTTCAAATCCTGGCCCCGAAGGTTTGGAAAACATGCTGGGTTCATGTGTGCATGCCCAGAATCCCGAGAGAATGGAGAAGGAACTGTGGTGTGACCACAAAAGTCACTCCCAGCAGGTGATTTCTCTCTCTCTCTCTCCCTGCGCCCCCGCCCCCCATCCCTTTCCAGTGAGTCACGTGCCCTATCGCAAAACTAACAACAACAGAAACACATAATTACTTATGAAAAATGGCGGTGTGCACCTCCTGGGCTCTGCACCTCTGTGCTCACTTCGGAGAGGATTATTGTCTTCAGGTCTTGTGTCACAATGACTCATTGATTTTCACTTGCTACTTGCTTTTTATTGTAGCGACTGTCACAAAATCCAGTCTTCATTTACATGGCATCATCACACAAAAATATCACGCAATCTAATGTTGAAAACTGAACTGTTCTGAGCCAGTAGTTTGCCTAGGATCTGACATGTTGTTATCGCGTTCCCTTCAAAAATCTCGAATATCCCAGGACACTCCTGAGAGTTTGCTGCAGAACCCTGGGGTGCTCTGTGGACCAGGGTTTTTAAAATGTACATATTCATTTCTATTGTACATATTTAGGCTACATAATATTATGTTTGGATATACACACACCTAGTGAAGTGGTGACTACAGTCAAGCAAATTAACATATCCCATCTCACCAGTTACCTCTCTCTGTTGTTGCAAGCCTCAAGAATATCTTTCCCCCTTTCTTTCTGTTTTTTTTTCTTTTATGACAAAATCTCTTAAAAGTTTATTTGTAATTCTATTTCTCCATGACATATTATAACACACTGTAAAATTTTCAACCTGGAGAGGAGTTAATATTGGGTTGTTAGAAAGTCATGACGTATTTTTTTTCTATGCAAGAATGTGCCATGACTTTTCGGACAACTCAGTAGAAGGGCATATGATTTGACTGAATGACACGTGGAAATGTGATGCATAGACACGTCTTCCCAGCAATAAAGCTAGGGAGTTTTTAACCAAATATTAATAATTATTATTTTTTGTTCTAAGGTGTATGTGCTTGCCAAAAAGAGAACAGAGACAGATCTAAGGAGTGAGAAATCACCCCCTGGGGCGATGGCCACAGTGTAATCCCTTGTCCTCTATCTCTTCTTGGAATTTTGGCCATGCACACACGTGTCCACTGTATATTCCAAGCGGCCAGGTCTGGGATTTGAACTGTGCAGGTGGTTGTACGGGATTCAGCCACCTTAACCACCATGTCACCAGCTAGTCCACCAAGGAATTATTTACATTCTCAAATTTACTATCTCATACTTGATGAAGTAGGGAAGATTAAAAAAAAAAAAAGGGAGGGAGGAGAGAAAAAGACAGAAGGAAGAAAGGGGAAAAAAAAAGAAAAAACTTGACTAACGAAGTTTTATTTAAAAAGTTGTGCTCTTGGAGCAGGATAAGAGAGCGTGAGAGGCTGGGCTCCCCCAGAATGGAGGCAGTCTCTTTGTCAATCTTACATACGGTCAAGTTTGGGCCAAAGATGGAGACCAGGAAGCAGGAAGATTTTATAGACAGGACTACGGGCCTTAGAGTCAGGCTATGTTCCACTCACTAACTCACACCTTTTTTACAAGTTACTTGATTTTTTAAAGGATTATTTATTTAATTTATTACTATTATTATTATTGTTGTTATTTTAACTCGACCAGAGAGACACAGACAGAGAGAGGAAAAGTGAGAAAGCAAGCTGCTAGGTCCAGGACTTGAACTGCGGTGGGCCATGTGGGGTCCAGCGCCGTAACCACCATGCCACCTGCTGGCCCCATTACTTAATTTTTTTAAGCTTTATTTTCCTCCCATTCCGAAGGGGGACAATACTAATCCCAAAGTTGCTTCTTTAGGGCTGATTAACACCTACAAAGTGCACACATTAAGCACATCTAGAGGCTAGATAGTTCTTGGTTATCAATATCGTCATTATCAGGAATAAAGGACTGACCCAGGGAAGGGAAACAGCGAATACAAAATCTGCCCAAGATTCTCAAAGGCACAAAGAGGAAAAGCAGCGGGGGAGCGGGGGGTGAGGAATGGCAGAGTCTGTGTCAGCTGCTGCTGGGACTGTAAACCGGTACAACCACTTCAGAAAACCACATGGCAGTGTCCGCTAAAGCTGAACAGACGCCCGCGCCACACTCTGGCACATTCACTCCTAGACAGGTCATTGCCGCGTCAACCGGAATCGATGTGGACCAGAACCTGTGTCTGGGTCATAAGAACCAAAAAAGTGGCAGCAACCCAAACGCAGAGTGGGTGAACGCAGTGTGGTCTCTTCACACGGGGCACCACTACTCCACCAACAGGAATGAAATACCGCTACACCCACGGCAACCTGGCGCACTGTGGACGCTGAGCAGAATATGGGTGCAGGCACAAGGCAGCGCGTACCGCAGGAGTCTGTTCTCAGAAAGTTCACAGGCGGCCAAACCAAGCTGCGGTACTAGACACTGATGGTGATTACCTTCTGGCAACAGGATGACCAGCTGGGACGGTACTGGGGGCCCTCTGATGCGGGACAGTGGCCCTCACTTTCTGAAAGTGTGTTGAGCTGCACCCCGTGACTGACGCACATTGCATACCTATGTTTTATCTGATACAGGGTTCACTGTAAGAAACCTTGCAAAGCATCGAGGTCTTTCATTGATTCCCTTCTCAGCAGATCACAGGGGGACACATCGAGACAACACTTTGCTAAAGAAGAACAGAAGACACGGAGGTTCAAGGGTTCTTCTACACCCTGGAGGAGAAGGGTCCTACCAGGCTGACTGCGAATCAGGTTACACCACAGTAACGACCCCCAGTCCCAGCTAACATGACAGGAGCACCAGCGGAGCTCTGCCTCATATGGGCTTCCTCTGAGAGCACACGCCAGGTCCAGGAGAACTGGGCCAGCACTAAAGTACATGTACGCATAAGCGTACTTCATATGTGTACATATATACACGCATACTTCAATATTGACACGTATATGCACTTCACATGCACGCACACATGCGTACTTTAGTATATATGTGTACTTTACATGCATGTATATATGCACTTGAATATTAGCGTGTGTGTACTTCGGTAATGACATGTGCATGTACTTCATATATACACACATACACATACTTTGGTATATATGTGTACTTTATATATATATATTATATATATGTACTTTAGTATTAGTGTGTGTGTGTGTATATGTGTGTATGTGTGTATATATGTGTGTATAAATATATGTGCATGTATATATATGTGTGTGTGTGTGTATGTATGTATTTGCTACATTTCATGTGCATTTGCCAGAGGGAATGAGAGAGGAAGAGCCAGAGAAAGAGGGAGGGAAAGTGAGAAAGCACCCCCAGGGGGATGACCATGTCACAATCCTTCTCCTCCATTCTCCTTTCAGGACTTTAGGCATGCACACACTCCTGGTGTGTTTTTCAAGCTGCTGGGTCCAAGATTCGAACTGTGTGGGATCCAGTTGCTTTAACTGCCATGTCACCAGCTGGCCCCCGTATAGTTTAATTCACCAGTTGATGACACAGAATTAAAATGTTTTAATGTGGGTTCCTTAAAAGTCACATAAAAGGCTGAAACATGCTGAGATAGAAGGAAGAACTGGACAGAAGTGCAGTTTAAAGATGAGAAACATCCTATGGTAAACTCAAGACGCCTGACTTCCCTCACCTCTGCCATCCAGATAACTTATTCCATCTCAGATAAACACAAGGTGAGCTTCTTATGCCAATTCTTTTATTGAGAAAAAGGCCACTTCACTCAGTAAAGACCAATGGGGTCACATAGAAATAAAAATATTTGATGTAATTGATCAAAAACATCAAAAGGGGCATGATTTGTTTTAGACAAATCCAGTTTCTCCAAGTTGCCGGATGCTGTGGAGGTGGGCAACTCTGTGTGTTTCACAGAGTAGCGCCAAGAGTATCGGGCGGCTCTCCTTGCACGTTCTAGAAGGAGCTAAGTTCCAAAGACAGGCCTCCATAGCCACTTTTCAGGAGCACATCCGCTGTGAAAAATAAGATGTTCTTATCCTGGGACTTCACACAAAGTATGAAGAGGAAGATAGACTTAAAAATGCTTATTAAAGATGGAAAATTCTTCCACATAAGGAAAAACTGCCCAGAACCACTGTACAATTAGGTTCTTACTTGATGACTGGATAATTAAAAAACAAAAAACAAAACCACTCAACCACCGCATTTCTTGTTTAAAAAAAAAAAAAGGAGTTTAATTTGAAAGATACACATGACATCTGTGACTGGATTTTAGGTAAAATGACAACTGGGCCCAACTCACTGAGAGACAGGGTTAGGCTCATTCAAAGTGTGCTGGAGGGGAGGCCGAGGCACAGTTGTCGATGACTGCCCTTCCCTTCGAGAGCTGCTGAGGTCGCTTTTCTGCTCACTGGAGACCTGAATGAGAAATCTGTTGCTCTTCACAGATCATGGTTGAGTTCCATCCTAATTATAGGCCTTGACAAGCAAAGCAAGGAGCAGAGCACACAGGGCCAGGGTTGCGGCTATCCCGAGTGCACAGTCCTGGCGTAGCCGGGGCACTGGCAGCCCTCTTCTGGAACTTGCTGAGTCGCGCTGAGTTGCAGCAGAGGTGTGGGATATTGAACTTGGGTGATGGCCAAGCCTATCTCTGAATTCCTATAAGGAGAGAAACAGGAGTGAATGCATGATTTAAGATGCAGAGTTGTGGAGCCCAAGGAGGAACGAACTCATGGGCTCCTCTCCCTGTTTATACTGAGGAGGGAGGGCTGGTCCTATGGAGCTCACCTATGGGCTCAGGAGCACTGAGAGCGCTGCCTTTTTAAAAACAGAGATTTTTGTTACAGGACACACGAGCTCACCAGAGACACAGAAAGCGAGAAATCACCCCCCAGAGGGGATGGCCACGCCGCAATCCCTTCTCCTCCATTCTCCTCTCGGGATCTTGGGCACGCACGCACACGCACCTGGCATGAGTTTTAGGCCGCTGGGTCAGGAACTCAAACCGTGGTTGACTACGTGGGAGTTCAGTGATGTAACCATTACTCCATCTGCTGGCCCCAGAGCTCTGCCTTTTAAGGTGGTAGTCATGGAGCAATGGGTTCCTGGAAGGGCTGCCATCTACTCACTCCTTCAACAGGGGTCCATATGAAATGCTCTGGCCTGGTCGGTGTGAATACGTCACAGTTCCTTTCCTTGAAGGGCCAGGCCAAGTTCTCGATTTTCCACACTATACGAGAATGTATACGAGGCAGACTGTTTATGGAGGACTCAGGCAGTATATTTCTGAAAGGTGGAGTGCATGTAGCGTGAAGTCACATCTCAGATGCAGCTCTTTCAGGCTGGAGTCCTCAACCCCTAGGTCATGGACCAGTACTGGGTGGTGGCCTGTTACAAACTGGGCCGCGCAGCAGGAGGTGAGCAGCAAACAAGCAAGCGAAGCTTCATCTGTGTTTGCAGCCACTCCCCATTGCTCCCATTACCACCTGAGCTCCTTCTCCCGTCAGATTGGCAGTGGCATTCGATTTCCATAGGAGCACCCAGATGGGACCACCTAGTTGTGAAAACAAGCTCAAGGCACCCACTGGTTCTGCATTACAGTGAGTTGTATAATCGTTTCATTATGTAATACCATGACATAATAATAATAATAGAAATGAAGTGCACAATAAATACAATGTATGTGAATCATCCTGAAACTCCTCCACCTCCCCCTAGTGTGTGGAAAAATTGTCTTGCATGAACCCCGTCCCTGGTGCCAGAAAGGTTGGGGGTCGCCACTTTTAGGGGTACAACCAGATCCCTTGGTGCACAGGAATAGCAGGAAAAAAAGCTATGGCAGCCATTTCCTTTAGGAAACACATCCCTTAGGGTGGAGATTCTCAGGAGGGTGGCTGCTTCAGGTAGGGCTGTCCCCACCTTCAGGGTCTGTGACTAGGGGACCTACCCTACACACAGTCCCTTTCTGTGCCCTGGTGTTCCACACTGTCATTTCTTTTGCAAGCCAGACATGGAATGACTGGAGTTCTTGCTGGAGAGGCAGGAGGAGCAAGGGGACTGTGCTGCTTTGTAGGTGTTCTGTCAGGGCTGGTGCAGGGGTGAGGGGAAGCACCTGGCCACTCCCAGAGCTCCAGTGCTTCCCAGTGCAATCAGTTTTGTTCTAGGAGATCTTCACCTTACACACCCACTCTAGAATCAGTGCCTCCCCATATAACATGGGACTTCCCCTGTGGCACTTCACTAACATTTTGAGAAATGGAGGTAAGGGATGGGGAAGGACAGAAAGAGAATTACTAGAGAGAAGGAACGGCAAGGAGGGAGACAGTAACCCAGAGGCGACACAGCAGAGCATGCCTGTGGTGGAGCAGGAAATCCATGGAAGCAGAAGACATCTGGTAACAACTCCACACCCCCTTAAAAAAATACCACAGGTGTGGGTGCCACCAGAGAAAGGGAGCTAGCACTCCTAACGGGGCACGGTCACTCTGCAACCCCTTCTCCTCCATTTCTCCATTCTGTCATGATTTGGAGCGCACATACACACCAGGTATGTTTTTCAAGCTGCTGGCGCTGGGATTCCAACCACGGCTGCCCATGTGGGATCAAGCTTCCTTAATCACTAAGCCATGGGGCATCTTGAATAGCCATATTACACTTGGCCTATTCTTCCCTTCGACACTCTCAAACGATCTCTGGTACACCTCTGACTTCCACGTGGGGAGCTATATTTCACTGTGAGATACCGTCATTCCCCTTTGGATATTAATTTGTTTTTTCTCTATTCTCCAAACATTTAACACACAACTATATTTGACCTGTGAAAAGTATCTTGGTGCTGAATCAATATACATTTGCATTTCCCAAAGTATATACTGAATTCAAGGAATTTTACTACTTATTATAACAAACCAAGTATCAGCTATGAGGCTTAGATTTTAAGAACTAGACTTCCACTCAGAAGTACCTTTTTCAAAACAGACAGAAAATTGAAACAAGGAAGGATGTGACCTTTGTTCAATCAAAAAGAGCCATGTATTTTTCCAGTTATACTAGACTAAGAGACACTCTGAGAACTCCCATCACGTACTCTGCATTAACTTTCATGAATACGAGCTCCCCCACTTCTGTAAATCTCACCGGTCCCTTCATTAACTGCTCAGCTTACTTCTTTGCTAACTCTTCAATGTGTTCTGATTATCAAAGGAGAAGCTCACCAAATCCTATCAAAGTAATAAATCTGGTAACGTAGAACAATCCAAAACAAAACAAAACCAACTTTCATGTTTAGAAACATTAGGGATCAGATTTCAATAAGTTAAAGAGAAATAAAGACAGTTGATTGGTAACAATAGATAGTCTCTGTGTTTTTTCCCTCGTTCTATACTGTCTCTGGTCTGTACACTTGCCCTGCCTGCTATCATATCTTTGAATCTTTCAATTTATGTCACAGAACGTAGACATTCTGTATATATTGACTGGGGATATACAACATCTCTCTGTTTTGGGGGGTGAGGGGGAGAGGTTTTTGTTATAGGGCGCATGCGCTCGCCAGAAAGACAGAGAGAGATAGAGAAACAGAAAGCAAGAAATCACCCCCTGGGGGGATGGCCACACCGCAATCCCTTCTCCTCCATTCTCCTCTCGGAGTCTTGGGCACGCACACGCATGCACCCGGCGTGAGTTTAAGCCACCAGGTCTGGGACTCGAACTGCGGTCGACTACATAGGAGTCCAGTGACGTAGCCATTACGCCAACTGCTGGTCCCTCACATTATATTTTTTAAGTGTGTGAGACAGAGCGGAGCAGGGAAGGAGAGAGAGAAGAGGGAAGAGAAAGCTGTTTTGGGCAAGATCTTGCCATGTCCGGACCCTGGCCCTCCCAGCCACCTGAGACTACAGGTTACGCTATCACCTGGAGCTTGTGTAGGTTGGGCTGGAAACCAGTCAGGCCTTCCCATGTGGCCGTGGCCACCACACGGAGGCCCCCTCCAGCCTGCGCCACCGTGGCTGGGCCAGCCATCTCTGCTCCTTGTGCGGATCGCCAGCAGGCACTGAGCACGATGAAGGACGTGGGTTTTGAATTCTGGCAGCTCCAAAACAGAATCCAAGCTCAGCCCCATGACTTAGCTGGCTCAGACTCTGGAAGCCCAGCCCCCTCCTCTGTGAGGCGGGAATACCATGAGGCGTCACTTAAGGGGCAGAACCTAAGTGCCCCGAGCCAGGCTGAGATGCTGGGGCAGGGGTCTCATGGCAGGGGTTGGGCTTGCGGAGCAGAGAGGCCCAGAGCACTGAGACGAGGATGTGCCGCCGTGAACACTGTCCTCACAGGCGCCAGGCCACGAGGAAGCAGTGGTGCCCACGGTGCAGCCCGGGCCTGGCACCTGGGCGGGGACCGTGCCCAGTGGTTAAGGCGGCAGGAACCCGCGTGGCCAGCTGTGCGGTTCGAGTGCTGACTTGGAGGCTTGAGCAACACGCCAGCACGTGAGTGCACATGTGAGCCTAAAATCCCTAAAGGAGGGACACATGGAGGCGAAGGGATTGCAGAGTGAGCACGCCCCTGAGGAAGCTTTCTCACACGCCCCCGCGTTCTCCTGTAAGTTCATGCTCCCTCTGCCAAAATTAAAAACAAAACAAAAGAAGACCGCAGAGTTTATTTTGGGTGACCGTCCTTTCCAAATAATATGCCCCAGGGAGCAAGGGAGCAGAGGAGAGCACACAGCGAGGAAGGGGCAGAGCCGCAGGTCCACGCCCACAGTCCCACCCAAGTCATGTGCTTTTCTCACTGACATCGGCAAGAAGCGGCCGCAGGAGCCAGCAGCAGGTGGGAGGAGAAGGCTGATCTTGATGACATCTGCTGTGGTTCTTTGCCTTTATCTTGTTTTAGATTTTTCTTCCGAGAAATGCCAAATCCAAAAGCTCTGCATCAGAATTTGAGAGGCCAACTTCCTACCAGATAACTGACGATATACGGTTTGAACATCTACGTTTCTCCATAATGTTACAGAATTGCATTCCAGAGACAGAGGGAAGGAGTGAAACTGTGTCCAAAGCTCTTCCCGTTTACAATGTGGCCCACTTGTTAGAAAACAAACATGCTCTACCTTGGCGCTTTAAATACTCTCTACTGTGTTTACTTCCTTAGAAAGAACAGTCCGTTATTCCCGGTGCAATGCATACTCGATACTCTGCGTGTGACAGGAGAGACACGCGGTCACTTTCATCATTAGAAAGGCGGAAAGAAAACGAAAATTTATGGTTGGAGCAAGTTGCTCTGAAGTACTCATCCTTAGAGTTCCCATGAAAAGAATTTAAATTTGCAAGATCATTATCGGTTTAAAAGGGGCTTTTGCAATCTGCTTATCAAGATGTCAAGTGCCTTCAAAGAGCAGGTTGGGTGACTTGACTGGGAATCCTTTTATTTTTTTATTTATTTATTTTTTAACTTTCGAAGAATCTATTAATGTCCCAGGTTCAAGCGACAGAGAATTTCAGCCTGTTATATAGTCCCAGCTTCTCTGCCTTTTGTGGAGAACCCATCCACCCCACCCTTGAATGCCCTGAAGCCCCGCGAGGCTGCGCTGAGGCCCCCTGGAGCAGGCTGTGCGTTGGGGTGTGCAGCTGGTGGGGACCAACGCTGACGGTGTCCTGCAGAACACCCCC